TGGGGGGGGGGGGGGGGAGGGGCAAGCAGCCCGTTACAGGCAAGAACTCTGCCAGCCTGCAAGGGAAAGCCATGGTTTCCCAGGTTCTTCTCCTTTAAAGGGGAATCTATTTTAAAAGTTTGTTTGCAACTCTTTTGATATATTCTGGCAACACACTTTTGGGTTGTGACCTACAGGTTGAGAAACGCTGTCCTAAAGGATCTGGGTGAGGTTCCAGAGATCAATGTCTCCAGACTCCAACAGTGCAGTGGGATCACCCCATCATCCTTTCTGGACAGTTAGCACAAGAACCCTTGTGAAGGGGGAGCAGATGCTGGCAGGATCACGCCATCTTTCCTTTCAGACAGGTAGTGCAGGAGACTTTGTGAAGGGGAAGCAGATGCAGCAATTTGCTCCTATCTTTTCCAGCACCTGTGTGCAGGCACCTGGGGACATGTGTGCATTGAGGCACATTTAGGGCTAGATGGCCTTGGCACCCACTAGCTGCAGCTTATTATTACTTGGGGAATGTTACTTTGCTGATCCTCATTACCACTTTGCAGAGGTAAAGATGGTCAGAGCCACCCACCTGGGCAAGCCAAGGGGTTGCATGCCTGCTAGTAGAGAGGGCAGCTGCCAAGGGGCCTTCCCCAGGGAAGGGGGGAGCATACTGGGCACTGGCAAGAGGATGGGAGGTGTGAGGGCCTTCATGCCCAGTGCACCTGCTGCATGTGACAGCTGTCTGGTGATCACCCTGCCTCAGACACCATGTAGTGGTCACCAGACTGCAGCTGCTCCACAGGAGGACAAGGGTTGTACAGGACAGGACTTTAAGAAGATTAAAATTTCCCATTTTAAATGGTTTGAGTTGGAACTGGTCTTTAGATCACTGACCTGAAGTTCTGAGTCTACGCCAAGCTGCGTGCATACTGCCTGCTTTTGCCTCGCCACACACACTGCCACTTCCCTTCCCAACAGGCATGAGAATGCAGAGCATCCTTTACACCTGCAGTTACATGATTATTTGCTCAAAAGTGAGAGGAAGTTACCGGCTCTCGCTCCAGACTGCTTTACAAAGGACAGGTCACACCTACTGCCCCCACTTCAGAGGCAGGAAGTAACAAATTAGCTGGGACCCTGGGGCTACTCAAGAAGTCAATCCAGAGAAGAAAGACAGATCGCTGCTTCCTAGTTCCTTGTGTGGGGGCACTGAAAGCAGCAGCTCCCTTCAAGCCTGCATGTATGGATAGTCTGTCTGGGCGTAACATGTGTGCATATAGGAAAGCCTGGCATTTACCACTCACTGCAACAGTTGGGGTCTTGTCCAAGACAGCTGGAACCTTCAATATAAGTGGTGATAAATTCAGCAGTGTTGCCCGTGTTGCACCAGCCAGCCTGGGAACAGAGGCTGACTCCACGTGCACCCGAGTAAAGCACCAGCTCAAAAGACATGAATGACATTTCATACAAAGCACCTAGCACCACCCTTCCCTTCAGGAAAGCTAGGAATCAGAAATCACACATATTTAACAAGTCCTCTTCAGCCCTCCCCATCAAGGCGGTTACTGCTTGGGACTCTCAATAAAGGAATAGCTAAGGGCTACAATTATTACTCCCTTGTAAGGAGGTTTGAGAATAAGCAATATACCTAAAAGGCTGTGCTGGAGCATATGTGCCAAGTGGGGAGGGAACAAATAAAATAGAGCAGTTACTTACCTTGCTGCATAAAAAAAAAAAAGACATCTATCCTGTCCTTATTGCTTCTAATCCTTTCTAGCCTCACCAACAACAAGATCTAAAACTTTTGATTACATTTCTTTGTATCAACAGGTTTATCTTTTTGATTAAACCTTCACTGTTCAGGTTAAAATCTACTAAAACCTGGACAAAAAAAATGCACTGGCAGAACTTACTTTCTGAACTGGAGACACTAGTAACAAGTCTGTCCTTCTGCTTTCACCAACTCCGATTCCCAAAAGTAAAAAAAAACAAACAAAAAAAAAAAAAAAAAAAA